CAATTCTTGGAAGCTATCTTCATCTGTCACATCATAAACAATCTGTGAAAGGAACCAGTTAGAGAAGAGTGCAACAAAATCCCCACAAAGATAGGGAACATTCTACGTTTAAAATCTTAAGCTAAGAAAACCACCACCCACAACTATTCCATGTGCTCCACGATAGTAGCTACTAGTTATTGTCCTGAATCGTTCTTGTCCTGCAGTATCCCACTACAATAGTAAACCAAGTAAGATCTGTCATATAATAAGACTTTCAGTGACTTAGAATCTCATATTGAGTAGTGACACAATATCTTAGAAAAATATGGATCTCCAAAATTAATATAGAAATGAACAACAGACACCTCAAAAGACTAAACATATATCCCAAGCTTACTGCAAAATATAACATTAGCAACTAAAAAAGTAATATCAAGCCAATCAGATACATACAATCTGTAGTTTAATTGTCTTCCCATCCTGCTCAACAGTGCGAATTTTCTGCACAAAGTAAAATGTAATGATCAGTTGAGCAACAGTCTCAAATGAGTTCAAGTTAAAAAGGTGTTATATTGTACTCACAAAATCAACTCCGATGGTGCTTATGTAGCTCTCAATGTATGAATCATCCTGTAGCACAACATTGAAATTAACATTAAAGGTAGTAATTTTAAAAAACAGTATTGATCATTCGTGTACCGTCTCCAAGACAAAACAACATGAAAAACAAAGCAATAAGGTAATAGTCTTACGCACATAATGTCACATGACACGTACTTTAGATAACCACACAAGACCATTTAACTGCACACCATATTTTCACTTAGAAAGACCTATGAGAATAGCAAGGGAGAAGAACCCAAAAGGCTGAAGGTAATGCCCACCCAAAATAAACCAAACCCAAGAACATAGAATATGCGGGTAATTAATTTAACTAAGATGTTAATGTCCATTTCAAATAAGTTTACTCAAAGGATGTAAATCTGTTGGATAGGAGAGAGAATATAAACTGTATAAGGAGGTGAAAAACGTGATAAACAAGTAGAAGGAAACAACAAAAAAACTACGATATGATAAAACAAACAGTAGATAACTTACAGCAAATCTTAGAAGAAGGCACGATTTACCAACACCAGAGTCTCCAATTAGGAGGAGCTTGAACAGATAGTCACTGCATAAATAACAGCATCACATGAAGTTTCTCATTTAAATTAGACCGATAATCAGCCGTAAAATCTCACCTCAAAGATCAACTAAGACCATTTCATAACGACAAAATCATACACAGACAACAAAGGATCGACCACTTGCTCCTTCAATTAAAGTTAAAGAAATATATAAATACAAACAAAAATCGTTACATTCTAATTTCAAATCTGGCACATTAGGTTACGAACAAAATATCATCCGGACACAGTTATCTGTAATAGTTTAGTACCCCTCCCAGATTATCATAGCATGATGATCTCCATATCAAAATTATAGTCCAAGTATTCAAACCATGAATCCATTTCATTGATTAAAAATCACTACAAAATACAAACACCCTATCTATTTTTTATTTAATTTTTTTCAATTCACTCTTATTGCTCAGGTATCCTGATCAAGAGCCAGGGACTAATTCCTAAGTCTAAGAGATTGACATCTTTCAAGACATTCTTCTACACGCATAGACATATATGAGATCGTAGCCGCTTGATCACATGATCTCATACGAGGCCAATTATTTTTCAATTCATTCAAATCACATGCAGATACATATATTTCTAATATTTGTCAAAAATATAAATCAACCACAAACAGAAAAAATCGATCCAATCTAGGGTTAACAAACAAAAATTTGGAAACCCAGAAACCAACCCATTCAAACAAAATTGGGCACATCCACAAACACCCTCTTGAAAAACAATAACAAAAGGGATCAAATTGTTAGCGCAATCGGAAGGGGGAAACGAAACATACTATTCGGGATTCATATCGGGAAAGCGGCGAAGTCGCCAGAAAATGGAATGTTATGGGCGGAGAAGAGGGAGATCCGGTGCTCCACGGAAGGCACCAATTCGGTGAAGAAAAACGTTGGTTTGGGTTGAGAAGAATGAAATGAAAAAGGGAAAATTTTAGTTTTTGGTTTGATTTGGGTGCTTTTGAATGGAAATCGTGTGGACCACAGAAGAAGGAAGCCAATACGGTGTCGTATTGGCATTTGTTGTTTTTTAAGTTTGGTTTTTATTTGAGGGATGCGTTTGACCATTCACAGATGGCAACCGTTGACGCGCTTCCATCAAATTAAATTAATTATTTAAATTAAGAGATTAATATAATATTCAACCACAGTGTATATATATATATATTTTAAATGTTTGTATATTTTTATATTTAAACTTAAAATTATATTTCGTTTCAAATTTTAATATATTTTAACTTTTTTAAACTTTAAAAATAAATATGTATATTTTTTAATTCAATATAAATCCTTTACTATCTTGAAGTTAAGAATAATGAAATAAATAGTATATTTTTTGTAATATTATTTTAAGAAAGTTTTATTGTTATATTGTTTAAAGAAACTTTGTATATTAAGTCTAAAACTTTATGCTTAATCTTGAGAGAGAAAATTTGATAACTAAAAAAGTCGTTATGTACTTAAGTAAGACAAAAGTATAGGAATCAATATTTGTAATAAGTTATAATTAGTTGAAGTTTTATATTGTAAAGAAGAATTAAGGTTAATTCATATTAGAGTAAACTCATATAAATAAACGTTGAATGCTTTTTCTATCACTTATGCATGCTCTTTTCTCTTCCCCATCTCTTTCTTAATACTTTCATTCTATTTTTTAACACCTTTCAAAAACTTTATAAAACTTATAAATGTATAAATGACTAAACTTGAAAACATTTAAAATTCTAGTCCAACCTTCGTATTATAGATAGGTTATATAAAAATACTCCCCTTACTTTTTTTTTTAATATAACAAATTCATTAATGTAAACATTGAGCCATATGATCTAATTTTAAAATTCTTGAACTCTTAAACTTAACCTTGACATAGTTACACAAACACAACACACATATATATATATACATATATATATATATATATATACATATACATATATATATATATATACATATATATATATATACATATATATATACATATATATATATATATATACACATATATATATATATACACATATATATATACATATACATATATATATACATATATATATACATATATTTTAAAACATAAATATTAGATCATATATTATAACATTACATATTTGATTTTACCATCTTTCTAACATTCAAAATCATATTTTACTGAGAACTTTCTCCAAAACACTTTTAAAAAAGAAAAGAAAAAAAATTCTCTTATATTAATTTATTTCAAAATAATATTTTTAATTCAAGAATTTGTAACATTCCACAAAATTTTATACTTAAACAAAAAAATTTTATATAGAGAAAATTGTTATCAAACTTTCTATTCTATGTGTTAGTTCCAATGTTTTCTAACACTAGTTTATCACTGACATTTCCTTAAACTCACACCATTAAAGTGATCATTGCAAAAGAGAAGATAAACACATAAATAGACAAAAACGGAAATAGTAAGCTAGTGATAAATAGAATCCAACATGGTATATTAAGATATCATCATATATCACATTTCATCAAGAGTTAATCAAACATCATAATCATACATGAACCTAGACTTGACCATCTAGATGTAGTATAAATGTCGAGTTATGATGGGTTCTGCACTTGTGTGGTGGAACAGTTGACTCACACAAGGTTAGTATGTGAAAACGCCCTTTGTAAAAAAGAGAAAGACTCACAAGCTAGGACCTCTTGCTACTGTCACGACATGACTCACCTCTCTCTATTTGAGCATGAATGATTATTAGAGTGTTAGGATCCTATATGAGCTTCTTACATTTATAATAACAACACTTGATTCAACCATTAAGAATTCTCCTTGGAACTCTTGCAAACCTCAATTACATACCATCATGTATTTCCAACCATATTACTAAGTATTAGATAAAATATTACACCATTTAAATTCAAACACAACATAGAATAGAAAATGAAACAACCAAGAAAACCCAAACTCACTCGCCCAGCGCTAGAATTATGGCGTTCAACGCCAAAACCATGACGTCCAACGAGCGCAGGCTTGCCTAGTGAACAGATCCCCTTGCCCAACGAGAGCGAAAACAAGGAGCTTCCCCTACCCAGCGAGGGAGCTCGCCCAGCCCCTAAAAGCCACTACCAAAACTCTCAAATACTCGACCAATGAGGTGTTTTCTCGCTCAGCCACTTTGCAAAATTTGCAGAATTTGCACCCTTTTAGCCTCTCTATCTTATCTTATGCACCTCTACCAACTCCTACCACTTTCATTTGGTATTCAAAACCTCCCTTGACCTATCCAAGTGTATACGATCCAACTTAAACCAAGTTTAAACTCATTTTACCATGAAATTCCAATTAAAACATCTAAAACACCACTTTATAGACCATAAATTGATTTTACCCATTTTAACTCATAATTAAGCAACTTAGGAGTTTGATCAAGTCATAAATGACCTAAAGACAGTCCCTAACCACTCCACTTTGTCTCAAACCTTCCAAATCAAGATCTCACTCTCCATAACCTCTAATATGCACCCAAAAGTCATTCAAAACACAACCTATTGTCTACCATCCACTTCTAGACCATCTTTATACTAACTCACCACCCAAACAAGTCTCAAATGATCATATAACAAATCCTAAATCACCATTTCTCCCTTTAAACCATTTCTTATAAGACTCACCTATCAAAACCTCTCTTTTTGACCCCAAAATGACCTATAATTCTACTAACCTACTTCCCATCAACATTTCAACTAAAAATAATACCATAAATTCCTTAACAACATCATTCACCAAATTACTTCAATCCAACACAGATTCATACAAAGAATCAAGCAACACACAACTGATTTCACTCATCAAAACATAATTATCACCAAAACAATAATCTCAATTACAATTAAATCATCACATCATCATAACAACCATCAATCATACTTTAATTCGGTTTAAACATAAGCATTAGCTTCCCTTACCTTTTTGAAGACTACACCGTTCTAGAGAATCCTATTATGTTCTCACAACTCAAGCAACTCTATTTGTACAGACAATAGAAACACGATCAAGGTATATCATTAGGACCACTGATCAATAAAGAGTCTTATATAAGACTCAAACATTATATGCAAAATGAGTGAGGCCCACATGCAACAGAAGAAATAAAGGAAGAAAAAAAGGATCGAAACTTAACTTATTGAGACAGAGAAACGGATTAGTCTAAATTGAAGAGCTCGCTGTCAGGATCATTCTTACTTCTTTAATGAGATGAGTAGAGAATAACTCCTCAAAAAACTCTAGAAAAATGATTTATAGAGATATAATGTGTTTTAAATTAATGAAACTCGTTTATAACTAAACTATTTATAATTAAACAATTTAATGTTAGAATAATAAGTATCATTATTTTTAAACAACTATCGTTTCTAAAACACTATTTTCTAGATATTTACATAATTAATTTATAAAAAACTCTTTTCCTTTATTTACTTTTCATTTTCTTCTCTAATACGTGTTTATTGAAATTTTTATCCATGTAACAAATTGTATGCACAAAATTTAGTATTAAAGAATTTTAAATTTTAATTACATCAGTAATTCATTAAAACTCTAAAAATATTTAAATGTAGGATATTTTTCTAGCATGAAACTCCTCGTAATTCTATTTACATATAATTTGAGTAATAATTTTAAGAAAATGATATCTTTATTGTATGAGATAAAAATAAATTAATATTTTCACAAATTAAGTTTTCTTTTAAATTCAGAAAAAAAGGCAAAAAAAAGTGCTTTTGAACTAAACTTTTACTTGTCACCCACATTGAGCACCACCAAATGTTATCTACAACGGATAGGATAGGAATAGCAAAACCGTCACTCTAAATTCTGTCTTCGCCGGAAAATGGCTTCAGCGTTCCTCACAACCGCCACAACCCCAACTTCTCTTTCCTTCGCCTCATCCTCCATTTTCCTCTCTTCTCACCAATTCCACATTCACAAATTCAACTTTCCAATTCTACCCCTCACCTCCGCCACCACCTCCCTCTCAATCTCCTGCAAGGCTTCTCCCATTCCCGTTCTTAATTTCTCCGGCGAGAAGGTCGGCGAGTCCTTCCTCGACCTCCGCTCCGCGCCGCCTTCAACTGCACGCGCCGTAGTCCACCGTGCCGTCGTAACTGACCTCCAGAACAAGCGCCGTGGCACGGCCTCCACGCTCACGCGCGCCGAGGTCAGCGGCGGCGGTCGGAAACCCTACCCGCAGAAGAAGACTGGTCGCGCGCGCCGCGGCTCCAACCGGACACCGCTCCGGCCTGGTGGAGGCGTCATATTCGGGCCCAAGCCTCGTGACTGGAGCGTGAAGATCAACCGCAAGGAGAAGCGGCTTGCCATCTCCACCGCGGTGGCCAGTGCCGCCTCGAGCGCCGTCGTTGTGGAGGACTTCGCGGCGGAGTTCGCGGAAAAGCCGAGGACGAGAGAGTTCATAGCGGCGATGAAGCGGTGGGGGCTGGACCCGAAGGAGAAGGCGATGTTCCTGATGACGGAGGTGCCGGAGAACGTGAGGCTGTCGAGCAGGAACATTGGGACGCTGAAGATGCACACGCCGAGGACGCTGAATTTGTTCGACATTCTGGACGCGGATAAGCTCGTGCTCACGCAGGATGCGGTGGATTATTTGAACCAGAGGTATGGGGCTGATTACTTGGGAAGTGATGATGAAGATGAAGAAGAAGATGATTATGAGGGTGATGAAGAAGGTGTGGTGGATGGTGAAGAAGGTAAACTATTGGAGTTATAAATTTAATGAATTATTATTGTCATCACTCCACACTAAAATAACAGTTTACACAACAGTGTTTATCGATCATAGAAGTTTTTACAGAGAAGTTTGTTCAAATAGGCTTCAAACTTGTGTATAAGTTACTTTTAGCTTGTATAGAAGTTATTTCAATTTCTTCTCTAAGAGCTTCTTTTAAATTTTGAAAAAATTATAGACAAATGTAGCCAATGTGGTTGTG